AATTTTAGTGTCGGAGCTTGCTTGACTGCCGAGTTTAATACCCGGACCAACACACGCACGCGCTTTGAGTCGTCACAGTATGCGTCTTTGCATTTGGATGTATGCAAAAACGCATAATTACTGGAATTAAGTGTCTTTCAGAAGGGTTCTAAACAATTTTTGCCCTGAAATTGCAGACAAACAGCTCAATGTGGAAATCAAAATGGCAGGAAAAGCTAGAGAGAAATTCCGGCAAATTGATTCGGAAGGAGCTCAAACAGTTGCATCAGAAGGTCAACCAAAAGTTAGTTTTCGTTTGAACTGGTCTAGTTGCAGTGTTAAAAAATTCAAGCAAATAAACGAGCACACACGCAGACGCAGTCTATAGGCTTTACTTTCAAAAAGCATTGCGTATTTAGGGAATATAACAGGTGTTCCTGTCACAAACACGCGAAAAGTTAACTTTGTAAGGCCTAGCTACTTCCAGTTGTTTTACTCAGTTGTTGTCCTTCCTTTCCAGTTTGTGGGTGAGCTATCCAAGTGATCGCTTTCTTTGTCGTGGAAGCTACCCGAAAATACAGACATCTGCATGGCTAACAAAAATTCAGCACTTTATTGTGCGAAGGGTTGTTTCTGCGTTAGCAAACGCATCGATTAGCTCCCGCCTGAAAAAGTGGTACTTACGTGCTGCAAAAGTTGTACTTATCATTTTACCTCGGAAAATGTATTTTACTTAAACTATGCTCAAGTTCTACTCCAGCTGATACCTCTTGACACCCTGAAGTGGTCTTATAATTTCTGGCAATGCTTTCACAATCCTGCTTTCCACTTTTCTTGATCCATTGGTGAGGAAAAGATGATAGGTTGCCAGAGATCCATACCACTCCCAGCTACACTTCAAGCCATTTTTATGCGTTTTTGCTTATATGCAAATTGCAAAAACGCATACTGCGACGACCCTGTGTGTATGTGTTGGTCTGTCCGGGTATTTCATCTCGGCAATCAAGCAAGCCCCAGCGCCAAAACTTCGCTTGTGGGTTCCCCGGCCAAGTGCCACCCCAGGGCAGCGGTACTAACCCCTACGCAGGTCTGGGCCCCACGTATGAGAGGGTGAAATTCTTGGCGACAAAAATGCTAACTCAGGAACGAGAAAAGCTAGAAAGCTAAAATTTTGAGATTATGTTCCCCGTCCACATAGAACTTAAAGATTTCAAGTTCAGCCTTCCAGGTGTGCACGGATCCCGTGTACAGCCCCGTGAGGGTTTCTGGCACGAAAATCACTAACTTGGGAACTGCGAAAGATGGGAGGCTGAAATTTTTAGGGAATGTTCCCAGCTTATATATAACTTAAATTTATAGAACCTAGGCGCCAGGCATGCGTGGTTCTCACGTACAACCCCGTGAAATTTTTTGGCGGAAAAACGGCTAGCTCGGGAATCAGGAAAGCTGGGAGGCTGAAATTTTAAAGAGATTTTCCCAGCCCACGTACAGCTTAAAGGTTCCAAACCCAGCCTCCAGGTACGTTCCCAGGTCACGTGTGGCCCTGTGAAAGTTTTGACGAGAAAACTGCCAACTCGGGAAACAGAAAAGCTGGAAAGCTGAGATTTTGGATAATGGTGCACGCACAGATTTCGAGTCATCCTTTTCTATCTGTTATTTCGTTCTCTGTTTGGTTTTTTTAAGGAAAAGATATAAGCGTTAAGGACACGTTGAAAATTTCAATTCTTAAATTCAGGAGAAGCATGGAAGCAAGTGGGATAAAAAAGCAGGTGCAACGCCGGAGCCGATCAACAGGAGAGTGGTCGAGGACGAAGGTTCGCTAAGTTGATAATTAATCAATTCGAACTGGAAGCAGGGTTGTGCGACAAAGCGCCTTTTATAGTTTTAACTAGGATGTGGTCACTTTTTTTATACAGCATTTTTGCAAATCGGCGAGTAAATAGTGCATCTCTAACAAATTTTAAAATATGTCAGGAAGGAATATGCTACAAAATGACAGGATTCTTTTATTAATGGCAGGATACTTTTACTTTTAATGACAGGATGGTGACATAATACTTTTATTAATAGTACTTGTTAGGTCGCTGTAGAAAATTCAGCAGATGCTTTGTGTAAAGAAAAGCCCATTAGCTCCAGTATTCCACTGCAGTTAGCTTCATTTGCTAACACTAAATCAAATGTCGTTTTAACAAGTTCGTTTTCATGTTTTTTTGCATTCATACCATGTAGCCAGTGCGAACTGGCATTTTTAAGATAAATTGTTCTGGAAAACAGCTTTTAGCGCAGGAAATGCACGAAGTGAGCGTGCTTCATCATGACGATCTTTTGGCTTAGTAAGGTTATGAAATGCATAAGATTTTTTTCTGGTCGACAACGTTCTAAAATTACAATTTCGGTGCTTTTCTGGAAACAGGATGTCGCCCCTTGCCCTGCTGTTGACACTGCGCTCAAACTTAAGTAATTCACAACTCAGGAATCAAAAAAATGTAAGATTATAATTGAAAGAGGAATTCTTCGATTCTGTAGAAGCCTGACAGACTGAGATCAGATATTATGCTATTTTGTATCTTTAAGATAAATTTCGACGAG